AATAAAAAATCAATTAATCGAATCTCAGTTAGTTGTAATTTGGTTCAAATTAGATCGGTTAGTTGTATATTAGGATGGGCAAAACCGTACGTTAGCCTAACATCAAAACTATATGGCCTAACCAATACTACATAATGGACCGAACTTCAAACTAAGTAGAATCACATAATGGGCCTATCCGAAACTATATGAACCTAAATTATACAAATATTTGACCCAAAAAGGAGATAAATAGATAATGACATTGCCTTCTTTAGTGATGGAACTGTGCAAACCGAGGATACTATTAGTCTATTATATTACATTCTGTATAAATTTTTAATTAATCAAATAAAACCCAACCAGAAAAACGGGATGGTTTACACATTACATACATGTAAACTTTTTATACAATAAAAATGAGAAATAGGTGATTATTATATATAATTACATGTGAGATGACAAAATCCCGGAGATAAAGACCGTACTTTAAGATAGTTGACGCGTGAAACACACCCTGTGTTATGTTATGGGCTAATTACTTAAACTCCACGTCAGCAGATACGTGAACCATACAATACTCAGTTTTTTCGTCTCAAGAATATTTTCAATAGAAAGTGTCAAAGAAAAAAGAAAAGAATTTTCAATAGTCATCTTTATATTTCGTCTTAGAGCCTCGCATGCCCCATGCATCGTAGTCCACTTCCTTACTCAAACTCTTTCCTCATTAACTACATTTATTACAGGTTGTGAAAACCAAACCAAACAGAACCGAACTTAATAGAATTTTATTTAGAACAAAGTATTATGTCGGACAAATCAAACCAAATTTGAACCGAATAATCCAACCCGAACAAACTGAAGTTTATTAAAATTTAATATATTGTTTAAAATTGAACACTGATTAAATATTTGTATTTTTGTGATTTTCTTTATTCAAACGCAAACCGAACAATATTTTTCAAATCCAATTACGCCAAACCGATTTTTCCCGGTTATAGTTCGGTACTACTTTTAACAAACCGAGAACTCCAAAACTAAAAAATCTATACCGATAATACGGGCCAAAATAACCAAATTTCCCACGCCTATATATATAATCCATGACCATCATCTATATACAAACAAGCCAAAAACGTATCAATTACTGCAACCATTTAGAAAACAAGAAAGATCAAGAGATGGGGAATATTCTTAGGAGAAGCTGCGCCGTGCACCCGGCTTCCGGCGACGGAGGAGGAAGAAGGAACGTGGCGGAGACGGTGCCCGGAGAGATGAAGAAGAAGGATCATTTAAGGATTAAAGTGAGGATGAGAAGAGATAAATTGGAAGAGCTTTTGTATTTGGCCCATCATGGTGATCAATCGGACGGTGGTAATAAGACGATTGGTTTCTTGATTCTTAAAGAATGTATGGAAGGTCGTTTACCGGCGAGTGTTCTTAGCTCCGGCGACGATGTTTGGTCTCAACATCACTTGGTGTCTCGAAAATTGGGTTCCATCACAGAGGAATAATTAAATTATATATATAAATATGTGTGTGTGTTTTGTACGCTTAGATAAGCCTAAAGTATTTAGAAGTTTAGTTTTAAATAAATAAAAAGTATTTAAAAGTTTAGATAGAGAACGCTCTTTTTTTTTTTTTTTGTCAAATATTAACGGGTTTTTAGATCATTATCATGTATGTTAGGCTAAAAGAATAAAGGAATATGTTGTGTAATGTATTTAAAGATATATTTAGATGTACATTTCTATTATTTTATCAACAAAATGTTAAGCTTTTATGCGTATATAGGCATATACAAAAAAAAATTGGATTCTTCATTGTTCTCAAAACCCATAATTAATTATTAAGATTTTAAATTGAAAATGTAAAAGGAAAACAACACTAATATATTGTAAATGATATTAGATCAATTCATCGTGAATTGATTTCAAGTTGGAAACATATAATTTTCACATGTGATCAGTAGTACTGCTCGATAAACCGAAGTGTCGGATGTAACCAATTCAAACAGAATAAGATTTAATATGAAATGACTTAGCTGAAAAAGTAACCATCTTCAATAGACGTATTATGGTTCTATATCAGAATTCCTATATCGGAATTCCTATTAGCAATGGGCCTAACTCTCCTATATTTTATCCAAGAATCTTTAACTTTAGCGATGTGAGACTTTAATACCCCCTCTCACGTTCAGGACTGGACATCTGAAACTTGGAGTTTGTGGGACTGGACATCCACGGGTAATCCACAATCAAATTAAGGCCC